CTGCCTCCGTCATCAGGGCGATGAGGATTTATGTCTTCTGGGTTGTTGCACTGTGTAGTCTGGTCGATGTTAACCAACGTTTCGGAGGTCATACTGCCTCCTTCATCAGGGATATTCATAACGCAACAACCCAGAAGACAGAAATCTTCAAATTTATTTCTCTTTTAATTAAATATATTTTCGTTGCGTCATTTGCTAATTTCATTAAAATGTAGTACCATCGCCAGTTCTTTATTCCTTAGTAAACGCATTTCGACCAATCAGTCACCCTTCCTCCCACTTTAACTTCGTGTTCATTTATATTTAACATCATTGCGTGTTTGCACATCTGTATCGGAAGACAGGGAATGTCCTAGGGTTGAAACGCGTTTGTGAAGGAATAAATAACTCGTGAAAATGTTGGTAATAATTGGACCTAACAGAAGGAATCCACGAAGAATCATTGATTGTAGCCTATAAGAACATAAAAGGATGGATTTAAGATTTAGACTGTTTTAGTGTTATTAAATTAGTTAAATATAGAAAAATGCAGTAAGGTGAACATGTATGTGGGGCTATAGACAGAAACTAATGCTAGTAAATAATAATAAAAGTAGTTGGTTGTTATTAAGAACACTGTCAAAGTGGAGTTTTATTCGCTATAATGTTATGTTATCTCATGAACTGAATGCGTAAAAGAACATATAGCATGGAGGAACATGTCTTTCAGAATATTTTATTTCCGAAATTAATTGTTGAATACTTATGTTGGAATTTGCCACTTGGAGATCTTTTAATAAGTTTTGAGAAATAGATTTATTTTGGTAGGTAATGGCCACATATAACGCAAACTTTATATGTAATTAAAGTCGTAGTTAATCGATATTCTTAAAACTATCGTATAAACTACTTGTGGATGACAAATTAAGGTCTAGGCCCTTAGCTTTAGTTTAAAACGCTTTTCAACATAGTAAATATTTAAGAAAGTCAAAGAAGATATACATTGATTGTTCTTTCCAGTGTGGTTACTTTGAAACAATGTTAGTTATTGAAAACATAAATTGAATTCCATCACTAATTGTGTTCATAATTTCTACTCTGCTTACTAGATAGCTTAATGTAATTCCGGTCGGAAGAATTATCGTCTGCAGGGTAGAGCTGATTTTATCTTAAATAATAGATTTATGTCAGCAACAAGTGAACATCAAGGCTAGTGTGATATATAAATTGTCAAGATAAGATAAAAGTTGTGAGTAGCTGTGCAACAGCCGATTAAATTTGTTAATTTCTATCATAACTTGAATTGAGTTCTGTCAGTGACAGTTAATTTTGTAATCGCTATCTCATTCAGTCGACCCTCCAGTGTTACCAATGCTGCTGTCTGGGTCATAGAAAATAAACTTGTTCTTGTATTTATGAGTAGGCGTCTGTACCTGAAATAAATTAAAGGTTAGACTAATGACGTATGAAAAATCACATATGGGCAGATCCAGTCCCGGGTAAAACTCATAAAACGTATACATTCCTATTGCTTATATTTCTAATCCTATTATATTTTTCGTCATATTTAGCAATGAAATACAATTTAACTACTTTGGGCTCGTGCTCCCATCGTATATGATCGAATAGCATTCGGATCACATTTATATTAGGCTTACTATTTACAACAATTATTTATTTTAATCCGTCTGATCACAATATAATTTTTATTTTAAAATTTCTTATAAATAAGATAATAAAATATCATTCATGTTCCATATCGATTGATCGATTTACATTTCGGAACATTTACACAACATGTTTCGGTTTTTATAAAACCATCATCAGGTGTAAAATATATCTAAGAACTTAAAACTCAATTATGATTTCTGTAGTTTTTTGGTGATGTTTCATTACGTTTGTTTTTCCATTTTTGGGCGAAGGTGTTGTTTTTCTTAAATGTTATTAGATGTACATATCGGCCAAAGATGTAGGAGTGAGTGTCCCGATATGTCCAGAAGTATTTACAATTATAAACACGATTCAATATTATTACTAAGGTATTTCATTAATATTGCATTTTATTAGAGAACTTATCAATAAATATTCTGGAGGTATTATATTTATCAGACAGGCGTGCTACCTCCATAATTGAAATTGTTGACAACAAGCCATTTTTCATGCAGACAGTAATTTTTAGATATTTTTATGGTATATCTCTGTATAAAATGCCATACGTCGATCACCAGTAGTCAATTAGTTTATCATTTTAAAACTAAAAGACAAATAAATATTTTGCATGGGAGCCGCGTTAATTTATTTTCTTAAAAAATTTGTCTTCACGAAATTTGCATGTTTTTTCGAAGGTGTGCTACCTTAGATAATATGTGGATCTTTTATACAGTGTTGCTCCCACATCAGTAAAAAGAGTATGAGGTTTAGGTTGTCTTCAGTGAGATAACGTTCATTCCAAGTTTCATAGAAATCGGTAGGATCAGAAGTGTCTTAGAGGGATAGTGTGAAGATATGAAAGTCATTTAACTGGCCCAGAAAGGAGCTAAATATGGCGAGATTTTATGAAAACGGTAAAGAATGCTGTGGTTTCATAAAAGCTCGGAATTTCATGACCACTGATGGCTTTTGAAGGATTAGCCTGTTCCTTGGTGTTTTTGTCATTATTTATGTTGCTTAGATATATGTATTTGCAGCAAGTTTAAAAGTTATTTTCCAAATACAATTTTGTGTAAAGAATATGACTTATGTAGTCCATAGACATTTAGTTTTTTTTTGAAAATTAGGATGAGAATCCCTTTTTAAAAGAAACTTTTGGAACTAAGGACTTACTCGTTATAAACTCATCACCAGTGCTAACATGCATTGTTAACTTCATCGAAAGACTAAAAACAATGGTAAATACGTTACACATCTTCAGTTTTTACATTCCAAAGACTAAACGTTTTCCAAAAATTATGGATTTCTCCTGTTCTTATAATAAATGGCGATTATTATCTTAAAACCTATTGATATTTGTAACAGATATGCTCTATGTGGTGTGAATTTTTTAAAGTTATTGGATGTAACTCGCATTTTAACCCTTTCAAGCCCAAATTTCATCTAAATAATGTTTAAAAATCCAGTTCATATCTCAAGGAAATCACAATGCTTCTCTATTACAAAGATCAGCTTCTTGTTACTGTTCAAGGAGATAATTGCTGTTTAATCTGAGGATCATACGATACTAATAAATACACTCTGTTAGTAAATTTCAGAATTATTGATTACAATAACAGGTAATACATATAATTATTACCGCGCTTTAAATAGTAAAGGGGTTAATCCTCTTCCGAAATTCCTTTCATTTATGAAATTTACTTTATACTGTGTTATAGGCCGGAAAAATTGTCATAGTTTGGCGTAATTTTTGTTGGTAAAATATCATTAGGTAGGTTCAAACAGAAATGTGGGCAGAATTGCAGAATTGGCCAAACATTTTTAAACAACGTGCTGAATAAACCACAAACGGCAAATACGTTCTATTTGTGTTGTTTTATGGGGATACGAAAAAGTCTTTGCCACGTAAATAGTACACTTTGCTGTAAGAAATATTAAATATCAGATTCAAATTCCAATTCTTTCCATGTGCAACCTTCTTATTGTTCCACTCTCACTGTCATTCGCTAATAAAATTTTTGCAAATGTTTGCGCTATACCTGGCAGTAACAGCCCAGTTCACTTTTCAGAAGAAAAGGGGTCTTTCAGAAATATTAACTATACCATTACGAATATTAAGCTACATCAGTTTAGCTGTCGTTGTTAGGCACATAAGAAATTATAGGACCTAGTTACTTTATAGAAAATATTTATTTTAGAACCAAGCTTATTAATCTTAAATGGACCGAAACGTTGTCATCTTAACTAGATAAGCAAAAATCATGCACAAATAGAAAAACTTAGGCTGTAAAATGAAGAACTGTTTAGTGTCGTCCCAGATATTATTTCAAGGAAGTTAGAAGATTAAACCGTTAACCCCTCTCTAAATAAGTTCTGGTTAATTTCATTATAACGATATTATCTAACGTCACGGCTTAGAGTACTTATAAAAATGTACAAATTCCCTGTGTTTATGCAAACTCGGATAAATCCTATTCTGAGCCAGTTTATTAAAACCCACACATAAACATCCTATTTGTAGATTCATTTGATATATCTAAGCCTCTCAACTAAACTTAAAACTCCGAATTGTTATATCTTGCCTTTAGTTTTAAACATTATAGGTTTGTAAGAATGTCTTATCTCTCCTATGCTACATGCCACGTTCTACGTTGTTTTAATTAAAGGTATATTATAAAGCTCCTCATTATGTAATATTCTACATCCTTACGTTACCTGAATGTGTTTAGATCCAAATATTCTCCACCGTAATTTGTTATTATACACACATAATTTATGTGTTTCTTTTAGAATAAATTTAAGTTTGGCACTTACACGAAAAATTGTACTTTTATTAACTTTTCAAGGCTTTTTTTTTACGAGACGAGAAGATACACTAATTCAACCGAATGGTTTTGCAATCATTACCCGAAATGAATGTGATATTGATTTCCTGAAGAAATTGTTATGTTTCTGTTGTTCCAAATTATAAGCCCTACACTTGGCCTATGTGTTTAGGAGCAGACTTGTATGATCTGAAGCTTTCACGGCGACTAAGTATAATAGATTCTTCTGTGGATACCAGCCGTGTAAGGTGGCTTAATGAAGAAAACACCAACGTTTCGAAAACCATCTTAGTCGTCTCGAAGAATGAGCAGACCACTTGTTTATCATGACGAAGGCACATTGGTTATCGTTAACGCCGGACGGGCTCTTACCTGGACAGCATGGCGGTGTCCGCGCACGGAT